CCCTGGCGCAACATGTGTCGCATTGCCCGCCCCAGTAACCAACCCCAACTGTGCCGGGAGTGGCAGAGGGAAAAGGCACTTTCCAAGGAGCTGGGGGCAGGAGGGAAAGGCCTCTGGGTGCTTAGGGAGCCAGGAAAGACCCTGGGGGGCTTGTGGGAGGGTGCAAGGCAACAGCCTCTGCACAACACAGGCGCACACCCCCGGGGAGGGCTGCAATCTCTGCCCTGAGGCAGCGGCTGGTGCGCCCTGCCGACTGCTCCATGCAGCAGAACGGGAGATGAGGGGGTCTCCAGCCGGAGCCCCGCTGCGAGCAGGGGTGTGCGGGAAAACCAGCGACTTTCCAGCCCCTGAGCTGCCCGGGCCGTGGCTGCCACACACCCTCTGGAGACAGCGTCAGTCGGCCAGTGAGAGAAGATGGCTTTTCTTTCTCTTTAGAAACTGTGGCTTCCCTTTCCGTCCAGCACCCTGTTTCTTCCTCTCCATCCATCCCCAGCTCCGCTCCTGCCCTTTGCTCCCTAGGTACCCACTTCCATCGCAGCTTCGTGCTCTTTCCCCTTCTCACAGAATCCCAGACTGCTCGGGGTTGGAAGGGACCTCTAGAAATCATCTAGTCCAACCCCCCTGCTAGGGCGGGGTCACCTCGAGCAGGTCGCACAGGATGGTGTCCAGGCGGGTTTTGAATCTCTCCAGAGAAGGAGACTCCACAACCTCTCTGGGCAGCCTGTCCCAGGGCTTGGTCACCCTCAGAGTGAAGAAGTTTTTCCTCACATGCAGATGGAATGTCCTGTGTTCCAGTTGGGCCCCATTGCCCCATATCCTGCCACTGGGCACCACAGAGAAGAGTCTGGTCCCTTCCTCTAGACATCCACCCTTTAGATATTTATAAGCATTAATAAGATCCCTTCTCAGTCTTCTCTTCTCCAGGCTAAACAGACCCAGCTCGCTCAGCCTTTCCTCATGAGAGGCCTCTCCTTCCCCTCCTCCGATAGCGTGACATAGAGAAGATCCATAACTAATGTCTACGAACCCCAAGCTTCTCATGGCCCATCCCAAAAAGGTTTCCCTCGTTCCTTCTCAGGCATCACAGACTTCCAGGACAACCCTGAGGCTCATGCAAACAACACCCAACGATGCTAAGAGCCAGGAGGCACAAAGCAGGAGCAAAAGGCTCCGGGTTCCGAAATGTGACCTTAGGAGAGGCACGAACTTTGCAATACCTGCCTTAGCCAAGGGCTCTGCTGCTTTCAAGGACCGTATGGCAGTACGTGACAGCTCGTTGCCCCTGTTTGGTATTTATATATGCACGCAGATGAAAAGGGTTGATCAGTAGAGGAGCGGGGGCTCACAAGCAGTTTGAGTGAAGGGAAGCTTCAGGCAACACTGCAAACAAGACAGTGCTCTGACACACACAGTCCCCCAGCCGTGCATTAATAAATCATATTTTACAGCTTACAGCACATAAACCCAGTGAGCGTGCATGGAGACCCAGCGAGCATATGCACACTTGTTAACACTCTCACCTCTCCCCTCCAACCAACTGCAAATTTATTAGGGATCTCCCAAGATTTTCTAAAAGGATTTTCTGTGAATGGGGCTGGAGCTTTGCAAGTGATGAGCCAAAACGAGATGGGACTTGTGCCCCCACCAGCTGGGGTGGTTAAACCTGCTGTACCATCGGTGGCAACCAGGGTCTTTGTTTGCACTGCCCTGGGGGCTGCCCCATGGAGGGGGGATGCGGGGGGCGGTGAACACGGTGGCAGGGCCCCGCGACGGGCTGCCGAGCCCCATGTAGCTCAGCATGGAAGGAGCAATCACTGCGAAATTCAGTGTCGCAGTTACTCCTCGCAGCTCCGTCACGGCCGAGACGAGCAGTATAATGAAGGCGGCAGAGATGGGAGCTGCCGTGGCGGCAGGGTACAGCCATCTGTTTGGGGCTTCATCCTGAATGCGGTGTTGGAGCTGGAAACTGGGGAGTTTCGGCTCCTCTTCCCCATGCCCAACCGCAAGCCCGTGTCCCATGGGTGGCCCAGGTGGCTCTGCAATGGTCACACTTCCACTTGAATGCTCCCAGGCCTCCACCAGTGAGCAGCCAAGCTTCCCAAAAGTCCCAGTTTTTCGTAGCGCCCAAGCCTGCTCGCTGTGCAACAGCGTAACACCACGAGCGGGGCAGGGATGCTCAGTTACCCCAGCAGCTTCCCAAGCCATGAGCAGGACCAGGTGCCGCACCACGCCAGCGCATCCAGCCAAGCACCCATCCTCACAACACACCTCTCCCAGCCGTGCTGCCGTGTTACGCTTAGTTGAACAAATCAGTCTTGCTGGGAGAACGGGGTGCAGAGCAGTAATTCACCTGTCTCTCCTCCCCACCAAAGCCATCTCAGAAGACTGCTGTGTTTTCTACCCCAACTTATTATCCTTTCACTCTTGGGAGGCAACTTTCCAATGGGCAGAACGTGTTTTCCCTTGTCACTCTCCAGCATCGCTTCTCGACTCACCCGTGTTTTGCTAAGATAGAGGGTTTATTGTAAACTTATTAATTACTTCATTTCTCCTGCGAGGAGCCAGGAGAAAAATTTTCAGAGGCAGCCAGGATCCGCTATTGTGTTGGCGGAGCCGAATGCGGCTGACGTCATGATTCATTTTCCCCATGACTGAGGAAGGCGACTCTCAGTGCCACGTCGTGCATATGAATCAGGCAGCGTTCCCCTGGCACAGCATGCCAGGCAATTCATCTTCCACCAGGACTTCTTCAAGCAGAAGAGAAAATGCCAAACTTTTGCTATTGCACTTCCCTGCAAACCCTGCGGAGAGGAAGGTTGGGGACCTGGGGGCTGCAGCCTCCCCAGCGCACGCGCTTGTCCCTCCACCTCTGATCAGCTGTTTTCTGTGCCTGTAGACACATCGACAGGTCCCAGAGTGACTCCAGCATGCATGGCCAACCCTGCAGCCACTGTGAGCATTGAAGCTAACTTTCTAGCCTGCTCACTGCTACCATCTCTCCAAGCTTAGGAAGTATGTTCCTGCTCATATCAAGAGGAAATCAATATACACAGAAGTTCATAACAACCTAATCTGGTTTACAGCACAAATGAGACTTGCCTGAAAAACTGAGATAATGATGTCCTCCTTTCTCAAAGCAGTACCAGCATCAGACCACCGATGGACGATTTGTTATCACGACTTACATGTGGGAGAGCACAGGGGGAGCACAGTGTATATCCCAAATAAAGGAGTCATACATCCAGTTTGGGAAGTGACGCTTTATTCTTACGACAGAAGAGCTATATCCATTGGAACGCAAAATTTCAGACTTCAGGGGATGCCCAGTCCTCCACGCAGGAGAGGACGAGGGAGACCCCCAGCAAGGTGAGGAGGTACCCACAGCCTGGTGGCAGGCAGCAGGCTAATGCCAGCAGCAATGAGCACACCCCAAGGAGCTTCCTCCCACCTTCTGCAGTTCTGAGATAACCAAGAGCCCAAGAGTCTCGGTGAGGAACAAAACCCACACAACACAGAGGTGTCAACACAGGTATGGGGTCTTCAAATGGCCATTTATGCTTGTGCTTGTCTGCCGAGTGATGGCAGACTCAGGTAATTTGATATCTTGAAAATAATTTCAACCCTGTTGAGTGATGAGCTGTTTGCAAGAGCAGGAGGTATCCACAAAGAACCTGCTACTCATGACTGATAGTTCCCCAGATCCCTGAGGACAGGGACCAAGCCCTTGGCTCCCATTAGGAGAGGACAACCACAGGGGCAGGAAGCACCAGCCTCCCACAAGGTTCATCTCTGCTGGGGCCCAGATTTGGGGGATCCTTTTGGGAAAAGCTGTGAACGGTGATGCTGTGGCTCCTCAAACCAGCAGTTCCCACCATATTCCCAGAGAGATGCTGAGACAGTCTGGGCAGTGATGGACACCTTTCCCAGTTTAAAGGTAAGGATTTGGGTCCTGGCACAGGAAAGCCCTGGGACGGAGCTAGGCTTGCCCTCCCACAGGAGGGAAATGATGCTTTTCAGAGGAACCAGGGCAGTTTGGGATTCAGCATGAAAGAAAGGGAAAGGAGGAGTTCCCTGCAAAACAGAAGCAACCCAATGCCACAAATTAAGGGTGGGAGGGAAGAATTTGTCCTGGCTACCTCAAGTGTCCTGCCCAGGAGTGCTCCACACCTGGCTGGTGGCGGGATGCTAAGCGATGGTCTGGCGGCTGAAGAGGTCGAGGGTGAGGGCGCTGAGGAAGGCTGGGATGCTGTCCTGGCGAAGCAAGTGGAGTTCGATGAGCTCCCGGATGGTTCGTGAGAACTCGGTTTCCAGAAGCTGCATTTTTCCACCGGAGGAGCTGGAGGCCTGAGAGGAAAGAAGAACAAGCCCGTTAATACAGCAGGGTTTTAATTCACCTCCTGTGACGCAGGGGAGAGCCATCGACATCGCCCTGGAGCCTCCTGTAATCTGCCTGTAACCACGACGTGTTACCCTGGGGGCCAGGCTCTGTCGCTGGCGCAGAACCGGGGTGCCCACGTCGGGGTCACCATTGTCACCACCACCCAGGTCTCGGGTGGCAGGAGGTACATGCAAGGGTGTTGCCTCCATAAAAAACACTTATCCCTGAAGTCATTCCACTTCTGTAGGAGGAAGCAGACCTGTTTGTAATTAACACGACTCCTTCCCAACAAGCTGCTGATCCACACCGCATTCCTAAAGTGTTTCTGGATGTTTAAATCAGCCCGGCAGCGCATAGCCGAGAGCTCCAGAGGAATTATTCCAGTGATGCTCTCATGAAAATAAGGAAACTCAACATGTGGGAAGACATTACAAATCTCCTGTAACATATAAAACAAGCAAAAAAAACCCCCTAAATGCACAAGAAATAAGGAATGCTTGAAGCCTCTCCTGCCCCCGGAGACACGAAAGCTGCTTGTTTATTAATAAACAGCAAAAACATCACAGCGCAAATGCTAATTTTTTCCCCTGCCCTTTTCCTCCTCAAAATGCTCCCGTTCCTAATTGCTCTGCAGCTCTGCTTCCCCTCGGAGCTGAGGCGGGGCAGCGCCGGGCCAAGCCGGCATCCCCCCGGGGCGGGCAGACCCCCAGCCCAGTGCAGGGATGCTAAGAGCCAGAGCAGAGGATTGCCATGTGAAGGGAAAACGTGGCTTTACCTGCTGGGAGAGAAGGGAAGCGATAACCGCTGAGAGCCCCGGGGAACCCGCTAGTTTCTGATTTCATGTTCTCAGTAGCCTGGATACATTTGATTATGAACTTTTCATGTATGTGTCACTTTAGATTGTGAAGAGCACAAGGTACCGAGGATGCCCCCGTCACCCCTGAGCCAGGCAGGGAATCTAAACAAGGTTTCCACATGGAAAAGTAAATTAGCTTTTGCTTAAATCTCCTCCACTTTGGTTTGGTTGTTTTTCAGCAACTCCAAAGGATGTTCAGGGCTTTAATCAGCTCCTTACTGGAGCTACCCGCCTTGCTTTCTACCCATCCGATGTACCGCTGGGTCAGATTAAAGAGGCGAAGTGGGAAGAGAGCAGAGATGGCAGATGAGGAAAGCAGGTGGAGGCGCAGGGAGGGACGTACATCCGCAGTCCACGTAAAGCCAGGGGCGCGACACGAGGCCGCAGCATAGCGAGGAGCTGGTACGCGGGCTGGATGCGGTGAAAGCAGCACAGGTTTTGTTTTGCAGTTCCCCCCGCTGGATTCGGCTGATGGGAAGCGCCGGTTTCGGAGGAAGGTCCGAGTATTATGCATGCATTGCTCGTGTCTCCAAAGTCAGCACTGGATTGGATTCATCTAAAATGGGAGTTCAAGCTCTGTATGAAACACACACTGCCTCCTTCGCAGATTTAAAACACTCTTTGGGCACAGAATTAATTTTCTAAGAATTTACAAGTAAAACCATTAATTGGTTTACTAGTTTAATTAATTAAAGCAAGTTGCTTAAGAAATTTAGCATCCAGTGCCAGACCATTTGCTTGTGGTTTATGATCTCGGAAACAGAGTAACATAAACGTTTTAAATTTCCCCTCTACTTTGAGCTCACTGGTGTTGCGGGTGAAGGCTATATTTGAATAATTTCTTTTTTATGAGATTAATGGTAAGTTGTCTCTACTATTCCTCACAACCAAAGTTTCCTCCTTCGGCAGAGGCAGAAGAATAACGTTCAGAGAAAGTTATGTGAACAAATACATGCTTCTCAGAAGACTTATTTCCCACTGCGTTCAACGGGACCGTGGTTTCTCTCAGTTGTTGGATGGTCAAGAGAGGCACCGTCTTCCCTGCTGTTGTCTTCCTCTCCCCAGGAACTCAAAAAAAAATAAAATCAGAAAAACTCAAAAAGCTTCCAAAACCCAGACATCTCACCCAGGTTTCTTATGATCTCTGCTGCAACAGGAACAAGGCAAGAAGGCAGCCACTTGGAAAAAAGGCAATTCTTCCTCTGCCGGGAGATGTTTACATGCTGACTTTGAGGATGGATGCACTTGCAGTTCAGTTCATTCAATCTCACATTGCTTTTAAAAAAAAGAATTTAGATTTTTTTTTTCTGGGAGTGTTTTAAAATTGCTATTATTGTTACCTTTCTTATTACTTGTTTTTATTGCTTTTTTTTCTTCACCCATCTGTTCATAATGTGGTATAGACTGGGATATATAGATAGATTTGTTGCTTTGAGTTCAACAGCAGGAGTACCTTTGCAGCATGTGCTTTACAAATAAAGTGATTATATGAAATAATAGCAATATGTTCCCATTAATTCACAGGATTTCTTTTCAAATGGCAGTCTGCACCCTGCCTGGTGCACCCGGCGAGCCGCAGGCAGAGAAGGAAGCGCCGGGGTGGGTGGCGTGGGAGCGGGAGCGAGCAGGGGATCACGACAAGGCGGGGGGTGTGGAGGGTGTGCGGGAGCGAGGGGACGCTGGAGGGGATGCTCTGCTGAATGAACGCTGCAGGCTCTGGTTGTTTCATACCGTTTTGGATCAATGCGGCGCGTACCTGCGACTCTAGCTCTAAAAAACAGATTTATGAAAGATACAAAGCTGAAATTTCCAGTGGTTTGAAGCTGTAAGGGCGCTCGAGTCCTCCTCCTCGCAGTTCATAGCTAGGACTCTCTCCACTCATTTTTAATCAATTTTTAAAGTTTTAAAAAAAAATTCTCAAACCTCAAAAAAACCCTCCTGGACACAACCCCTGCTAACAGGAACTTGCAGGTGAGAGCACATAACAACTATTCATGACATGCTCCATGTAATGCAATCGCCATTCACCTCAGTGATGCATCCCCAGGAATTCTAAGTTTAGATGAAGCCAAAACCCACCCGAGCCCATCTAGGAAGAAAATATGAAACTGAGGAACCTAAACAAGTGTCCCTGATCCATGGGGACAGTCCATGAGTGGGAATGGGGCAAGAGAGACCAGAGTGTATTCAAACCCAGCCCTAACCCCTCTGCGCCCCGTGTTTTACTCAGAGCTACATCACTGTAGTGTGTTGTTGCTTTTAAAGACAAGTGGGAAGGAAGAAGCATTAAGATTTAGAGTCAAACCAAATACACGGGATCAAAGGAAAAGCTGAGCCTGTGAGTAGCCCGATCCGCCCCGTAGTCAATGCACGGAGGAGTCAATGCAAGAGAAGACTTTGGGGACCACCACCACTTCCCCCTTCCCCAGTGCACTGAGCCAGCCAAGCGCAGCGCTTCACTAGAGATGCAAATATTCCCCCCGCGCCCCCAGCTTCCCTGAGCACAGAGCAGCCTGGGATGCTGAAGCTAAGTACTACGAGAATATCATCTCACAGGTACTCTTTACGTAGACCTTATATTGGTTTCTTCTAATTCATGGGAAAAAAAAAAATCTGCCTGGCTCACTAAACTACTGAGATTCAGGTCTATGTTATGTTTTATTCAGATCTCAAATACTTGCAAAAGGAAAGATTCCAGCTCTTGCTAAGCTCCGTTGCCAGTTCAGTCTGATTTAAGGCCTATCGGGACCTTTTCTAGAAAAGCAATGGAAATCAATCTTGGCCCCATGTTACCGCACGCTCGGTTCTGCTGGTGGGGGGATGCGATTCCTGCCGTAGATTTGAAGGGTGATACCCCGTTTTGCTCCTCGCAGGTTCTGCTGCCCCATGGAGCAACCAGATCAGTGGGCAGATTTCGCTATATTGTAAAACACAAGACGACAGGTCTATTTACCACATGGAGACGTAAACTTGCAGTAGCTGCTCCTGGATCTGCTCAGAGAATGGAGCCGTTAGTAGAATTGTTTTTCCACGAGAATCAAGATCAGCTGCCGCCTGCCAGAAGGAAACATCATAAATCTTCCTCTTAACCCTGGAAATTGGTAAATTATTCAAGCTTTAGAGTTTAGATATACACATAAAAGTCTCTCAAATAACCACCAGCGTGGTAGAAAAGCGAGCTCTTCTCTCCAACAGGGACCATCTCGGCAAGGAGCAGAGAATGCAGAAGATGCATAGGAGCTATAGGCACTCCCAGACGTCCCTGCTGGGGGAAGGGCCTGCAGCTGGCCAGACTGGGCTGGTAATGCTGCAACATATGGAGCATAAAGGAGGTTCTCTCAACTGTTGTCACTTCAACGTAACAGATACAGGGCTTCTGACTGCACTGGTTCTGCTGCAATGGCTCGTTGTCCCCATACTGCTGTTGCACAGGAACGCTCCCCGCAAGCCAAGTCCTAGCATTTACATCTCTGCTTGTTCCACCAGCTGAGAGGCAGCTACGTCAAAAGTGTGGCAGTGTCTCCTTCACTTACAAGCTAACACATGGTTCAGAAGTGCACTCGGAACTAGACACACCAATTTTTTAGTTTCTTGTATGCCCTTTTCCTCTTCTCTCTGACATATTTTGGTAGCTAGAAACCAATGGATTCCCTAACTCTGGCTCCAGAAGTGCCATCAGCTATAAACTGGCATGCAGTGTAACTTTAATCATGCAAAGGCTGCTTCGTATCGAAAAGAGGGGTGCTTGCACGCGCCAAGGAGAAGGCTGACATGGGGATGTGGTATCATGAGAAAACATGGGGTAGAAACGCGGAAAAAGGGAGAAGAGGGTTTCAGGATTTAATAGAACCTGATAATCTCACCTAGGCTCCCTTTCCCGTGAAAGGTTGGACCAGATGTTCTTCCAAGGTCCCTTCCAGCCTAGGCTGTTCCATGATCCTATGAAGAGGGGACATTCTGCCTCCGATTTCCACACCAAAAAAGCACAACTGCCTGCGGGGGGTGCGATGCATGCAGGATGTGTGCTCCTGCATCTTCAAACACACCCCCCCCCCCAAGTGACGCAGGTGGAGTTTCCAAATGGTTTTTGGCAAGCTCTCCACAGTGATG